GCTTACTATTATTATTTTTAAGGTCCTTAGATCTTATTATATTATATTAGTCTATAGCCCCTTTATAAATAATATACCTTATTTTTTACTTAGTTTTTATTTATTTTATTTAAGTATTCCTCTTTAATTTATTATTAATATCGTTTCTTTATATTTTCGTTATATAGTATTATATTAGGGCTTAAGAGACTAATTTCCTATAGCTAGTTAAAGATTTCTTATTTATAATACTATATTATTTATATTATACTACTTTATAGTTAATTATATACTATACTTTATAATTCTATTTATTTTTATACTAAAGGTTAAGGTTTTTATTTTATATCTTTTTATTTCTTATATAGTATTTTTATATTAATTTTCCCTTAGTTAAATATAGCTTATAGCCTTTATATATATTACTAATAATATTTTAGTATACTATTATATCGTTTATACTAAACTTATACTTTTTTATATTTATAAACTCTATATTTTAAGTATATATATTTATTATAATCCTCTTTATTATATTTACTTTATTATATAAGTCTTTAAAAGATTAATAGTTTAAATACTTTAAAGTAAGTAGCGTTATACTATTCCTTTATTTTAGTATATTTATAAATTTTATATATCTTTAAAAGATATCTTATTAATAATCTATAATTATCACGGTATTTAAGTAGTATACTATAATTAAGTTCTAATAATATAACTTAATCGTTTAGGTAGCGTTAATTAATTTTTTAGTAGTTTAGTTTTATACTTAAGTAAGGTTTTAAAAGTAATTATCCCTTAAACTTAACTAAGAAAACGTTATATTATACCTTTATCTAGAAATATATTATATAGTTTAGGTAGATATATAATATCTATAAAATATACTTATAATACTTATAAGTAAGTAATATTTATAGATTATCTTTAAATTCTTTTTATAGTTACTATCTGTATTATAAAGCTATAAAGGTATTAACTATAGTAATAGCTATAGTATAGTTTCCTTAATATAGTACTAGTTAATATTTAATTAATATAGCTTATTAGCTTTCTAAAAGAATTTAAGGTACTTATTAAGTTTTAATTTTAAGTATTTCTTTAAATTCTTTAAAGTATAAAGCGTACTCTTTAATTATAGTATTTTCCCTTAATAGTAAGTATAGTAATATAAGTTTATTCTTATCTTTTATTTCTCTAAGTATTTCTTATTCTTTAAAGCTTATATTATTAATACTTTATTATTCCTTTTTAGGTTATTATCTAAGTTTTATAAGTATAAGGGCTATATCTTTATCTTCTTTATTATATTATTTATAAACTACCTATTACTATTATTAGTTTTTATTTTATATATCTTCCTAGAATCGTTTACTATTCTTCTTAATTTAGTTTTAAAAGACTCTTTTAAAATAAGGGTATTTTAGTTCTATAAATTTAACTTATTTTTATATTTTAAGATCCCTTTATTATATTATTATAAGGGTTTTCTTTAATAGCTTTAAGAACTATCTAGTATTATTCTTATTACTTAAGTATATTTTATATTTATCGTTATAGTATATAGTTTAACTAAGGAGTTTATACTTTAGTTCTTATTTATTAGTAGCGTTTAAGTATTTCTTACCCTTTAAGGCTAGTACTTAGTAAGTTTTCTTATCCTTATAAGGTTATCTATATTTCTTAGAGTAATATTTAAGTTTCTTATAGTTAAAATACTTTCCTTTACCTTTTTATATTATACTTAAATCTATTAGTCTAAGATTTATTATATATACCTAGGCTATTTATATTTTACACTTTTTCTTATAGTTAGCGCGTTAACTAAAGTTATTTTTATAGGAAGGGTTTTAGTTTCCTCTTTCTTATTTCTTTTCTTAGCGTTATATATATTATCTATCGTTAATTTATACTATTATAGAGATATAGTTTAAGAGGCTATTAGGTTAATCTTCCTTATAGAGTTCGTCCTTAACTTCTTCTTTAAGCTTATTATAGAATCATAATATAAGAGGTTTATCGTCTTAATTAAGCTTTAAGGTAACTTAATAGTACTTAGTAGTATAGTTTAATACTAAGGTCCTTTATTAAAGTTCTTAAAGTTTCTATTTAGCTTCTTATTCTTTATTAGTTATTTTAAATACCTTAGTAATAGCTTCTTTAAATCCTTAGAAACTAGTAAAGACTCTATCTATTTCGTTATCTTATTATACTAGTTAGCTATCGAGAAAGTCCCTTATAATAGGTCTAAACTAAGTAAGTACTATTTTAGATAAATAATTTCCTATATAGGGTACCTTTTTAATTAAGTCTAAGAGTTTAATAAGGTAAAACTAATAATAGGCCTTAAGTTAGGTAAGAAAGTCTCGAAGTATATTATAAGTACCGTTAAATAATCTTAGCTATTTTAGTTTAACTACTTTTATAAGGTCCCTAACTTATTTATTACCTCCTTTATTCTTAAGTAACTATACCTTATATTAAAAGGTAATAATTTCGCGTATTATATCCTAGGGCGATATAATAGCTCTAGAGTTAGTTAATCTAGCTTACTTTATAAGTATATTAATAGTTACGATATTACTTAAAGTAATATAGTATTATATTAAATAAGAGCTTTTAACGTATAATAACTAGTATTATTCCTAAGGGATAAACCTATTAAGGGGTTTATATTAGTAGATATAATAAGGCGTAGTTTAACTAATATTAAGTATATTACGTTAGTAATAAGTTAGAGGTTATAGATTATAGACTATAACTAGGTAATTAAAATTAAAGATAGAATCGTAATAAAGATCTATATTAAAAGCTAAAGCGCTATCTATCTAAAAGAGTAAAAGTAGGTAGCTATATATAGCTATAGTCCCCTTACTATAATAATATTACTTATTATATTTAGTTTATTTAGTTTATTTAGTTTACTTAGTACTAATCTAGCTAATATAACTAATTAGACTAATTAGTACTTAGTTTACTTAGTATCGATCGTCCGATCTAACTAATCTAACTAATCCGTTATATAACCTTTATATTAACGGTTCTTCTATAGTCCGTAGCGCCTAGCATCCTACGTTTCGGCTATATAGCCTATATTCTAACCGTTATCCCTTTATAGTTAGCTGGTTTATAATATATATTAGTAAATTCCGACCTAAGGCTATAGCTAGTAAGATCTTTATACGCTTAGACATAATTTAAATTTAATATAGTAGGTAGATATAACTTAAAATTAAGTAATAATACTAAAAGTCTAAGTAGTAAAGTCCTTAGTATTATAAACCTAAGCTATAATAATTAAGGTATATTACAATTATTAACCTATAATAATAAGATAAGTAATAATTCTATATAATTAGCTAGTAAAGAGCTTATTTCTTAATAATAATAATATCGTTTAGAATTTACTAATAAAGCTATTTATTATTAAAGGTATATACTTAGTAGTAAATTTTATTCTTACTCTTAAGTAAGGGCTTAAGAGTATAGTAAAAGAAATAAGGGTATAGGAAGGTAAATTTAGTAATATATATCTTAGTCTATCTATTAAGATAAGGGAGGGGCTTATATAGGTATAGTAACTATATATACCTAGCTAAAAAAGGGTATTAAGATATTTTTATACCTAAGTTAGGCCTAAATAATATCCTTAGGCTAAGGGAGTTATATTAGTTAGGCAAGCTTCTTTATATATAACTATTAGGTCTACTAAGTATAACTATAGCCTCTTATACCTACTCTCCTTAATAGGTACCTTATATTAAAATAAGTATAAATAATTAGTATAATTAAACTAAATAAGTAATACCTATAAGTAGCTTAAATATACCTATATATATTTTTAGGTACCTATTTAAATTTTCCTACCTACTAAGTATTTATAAAAGCCCTAAAATAGCTTATAGGTAAGTATAGGTAGCTTATAAGTAAATACTTATAGGTATTTTATATATAAACTTAATAGGCCTTACCGAGTAATAAAACACGCCTTCCCTAGACCTAGCTTTAAGGTTAGAAGCTACTAAGTTTCTCGCCTATTTTATACGACTGCTCTAGTATACCCCTAATATCGGCTGCCGAGATACTTTAACGTCTTGCACTTTAGACTGATTCCCAATGCAGTTGACTGGACGTGTCATTTCAAGCTATGAAGTAGGTTATAGCCGAGTTTGCGCGCAGCACATCAGCGATTGTGAGTATGATAGGAGCAGTTATATGGTATCTGGCAATTTGTAGCAAAGTTGTCGACAGTAGGTGTACTCGCTAATATCTTTTAACATTATCACAGGACCGTGACCTTTAGGTACGAATTCACGCGCGTCGCGTGGAGAATCGCTTACAAGGGACTTTAAACACGTCAGTCAATTACGCGAACCAGCTCCTGGCCAAGTTTCCGCGCATGGGGCGCTGTTTTGTTCGATCGATTCGATCCAATGCTTGGCGCCATTCGATTCGATGCAACATACCCATTCGATCCGACGTTCGTTACGGTTCGTAAGCCTTAGCATCAATCGAATCTATCGATTCGATTCCCGTCCATCTCTGATCGTGTAGGCTATATATCTGGCCATAGCATAGGGGGCGCGGGCGTCCTGCGTTTCTATTTGATCGACCAGCCTGGGAAGATACAGCCGCTCGGATGTCCCCTCAAACGACATATCGATGGAGGGGCTTGAGCGGTATACTCTCCTACCCGAGGCCGTAAATGATCTCTGGTGGCACAACTAAGGAGCTGGGATACCTTCTCTGTGGGTTTATCTACCGCTATATTTATATTGAAACAGGAAACCCTTCAAGTTCTTTCTGTCGTTCCGTAAACAAATAATATTTCATTCGTGGTCTCGCTGTGTTCCACAATCTTCATTCGAATCCTTCAGTCCCATAATCTAAAATGTGAATCCCCTTGGGACGCATCTGGCAACCAACTTCAGAAAGTCAGTATGAGCTGACTTTACACTTGCATCTCTACTCTACCTCTCGTTCATCGCGACGACGTAGGCAAAATCGTCAACATCGTATCAATGCTGTGAACGCGGCTGGGCAAAGACTTCCTCGAGGGTCCTCGTCGCATTGCGCTTGATTCCGCACTTTTTCAAGCACGTGTCGATACCCAGGGCGACGTTGGCGGGAATCATGTTGCGAAACGACTCGATGTCCTGGCCGTTGATCGTCTGCACGCCACCCAGAGTCGCACTGACCACGTCCGGCCGCAGGCTGAAAAAGTTCTGTGCAATCGTCTGAACACCCGGATCCGGGTCGTTAAAGGCCGCCACGAAGACCGCCCCTTGGCAGTCCGGGTTAAATTCTTGGTGGATTGCGCCTTGCGGGAACACGGCCATCTGGAAGCGCGAGACCGTGTTCTCGATCGGCCGCGCGCCGTTCTCGCCCACGAAGTTGGTCACCAGGCGACCTTGAACGACGATGTTGAGCTCGGTTGCGCGGTTGTGAACGTGCGGCGTATTCATGCCACAGGGGCCGAGGAAGCCGACCGTCATGGCCTCGCCGTTGCCGATGAGGGCCGGCATCGTCCGGGAAGTGGCGGCGATGGTGAAGCCGCCCCTGCCCTGCGTCCTGGGGCCCGAGGTGGTGCTGTTGGCGTTGAAGTCGAAGACGAAGTCGCCGGGCCGGTCGAGCAGCCTGATGCGCTCGACCTGCGTCGGGGCCGTCATTAGCTTGGCAATGAGGTCATCGTTGCCGGAACGCGTGTTGACGGGCACGACGGGTGGGAGAATGGCGTTGATGTCTGCCCCGCGCTTCGAGGACTGGGGGGCGGCGGTGGCACTCGCAAGGAGCAGAGTAGATGAGAAGCTGGAAAAATGCATTTTGTTCGACAGGAAGGCGTTGTGATGTAGTTGCGAAAGCTTTTCAAAGTATGTTTTCTCGATAGTGCTCAATATGGAGTGGAGTTGAGAGCCATATTCACGTCGAGGAGAGAGCCGTCTTATACCTTGCAGCCCCAACTATCGTGCTAAGATCAGAGAGCTTGCGTCGTCATCACGCGACTACGCCGCCATTGTCGAATACGAGGCTCGTCGTGTTCTGCTTCGTGGTTGATAGGAGATACATTTCGCACGAGCCTTTTTCGGATGCCCAAATCCCGGGACCGAGGCTCAGCCTACACGCCGGACATCGCCGTCTGGTGCTGTCCGTTAGACCCAACGATCTGATAGACTTCACCTTCGAACAGCACATGTGATCTATACATGTAGTTAAATTATATGTACTTATGTCTAGCAACCCGAATGTTGATTGTGTGGTGTGGCACTTGGTTCAGCCCTGCTCTGCACAGCCCTGTTGTAGGGTTGAAAATGGTTGTGAGGTTCGGTCATGGGACGCAAGTCTAGCTATTTGGAACACGGAGCTGAAGGAGGCTGAATATACGGGCGTTTGGCATTGCTTCCTACTCGCTTTAAGCTGACCAACGCAGACGTGAATGCAGGAGCTCAACGATCAGCAGCCATCAAGCCTTATCTTATCCATGCCAAGTGTCCCGAGTTCTAAAGAGTATATATGTAGGTAAAACGACCGCAATATGACAAACCTTGTGTCTAGCCTAGCGCAGAGTCGTAATAAGAGTTGTATTGGGTGCCCTCCGAGGGGCCCCCTGGGCCCTATCCGACGGCATCGAGCAGGCTTTCTAATCGTACGCGTATGGTTTAGTTAAACCATATATTGCCGACAGATGAACCATGCACATATACCATACGGGCTGAGCCGTATGACTACATATGATCATACGCGGGGTGAAGTTACTCTAATGCACAATGATGCCCGTGATATAAAACTAAGCAACCATAAGCGTACCAAAAGTAATTAGCCCATTGCAGGGTAAGCTATTCTATAGGTACCTCCGCTTTATTAACTTATAGAAAGATGCCTGCCTTGGATTGTTAGTGGCCGGGTAGATCTAGGTAACGTAGGACTATGCAGTATTCTACTCGGGCAAGCCCTTAATAAGCCTATAGATTATCGGATCGCTTAGCTGCGTTGCAGGGGCTTTGCACCCGACATCAGCGAGATGCTCCGTTTGTATACGGCACAAGTCCCGTTACGAGACGGACATCGAGTAGAACTAATCGCACTTACGCCCCATTTTTTGAGATACGTACCAGCGCCAGCCCGCCCCGCCTACTTATACCGCGCGAGGCTAGTAAGTATCCGTACCGCCTAAATGCCCGCTATACCCGCGCTTACGCCCGCCTATATATATTATAACGCACTTTTAGCTATATAATATAAGACCCTCGCCTATATATATATATATATATATAACCTTTAAAGCTCTTACTATACCGCCGCCTATATAGCTATAAGGGCTAGAGGAACTAGATTAACTAATAGGCTAATTATTATAACTTTAAGCTTAAGGCTCGGAAATATATTATTTAAGCGAATTAAGAGGCATACGTTATATAGCTAAAAGTACGTTATAATATATTTAGGCAGGCGTAAGCGCGGGTACGGGTATTTAAGCGGTATAGATACTTACTAGCCTTATGCGGTATAAGTAAGTAGGGCGGGCTAGCGCTAGTATATATCTTAAAAAATAAGACGTAAGTATAATTAGAGATATATATAAGTGCGATTAGTTCTACTCTTATTAAAAGGTAGCTAGCGTCTTTATTAAGCCGAATAAGTATATTACTACTTAAATAATCCGAACTTTATTTAAAAGGCTATTTTAATTAGTAAGATCGTACCCTTATAAATATTAGCCCGTTAAAGGGATAAGACCCCTAGCGCTTCCTATTCCCCCCTAAGTATACTTAAAGACTTTATAAAAGCGCGGATTATCTAATTAAATATCCTCCTTAATTATAATTAATTTAAACGTTTATTCTCCCCTTTTAAAGTAAAGGTCGCTTATTATACAACTCTAGTAGAAATAAAAAAGTAGAAATTAAAGAAATCTCTAAGACTTATATTAATAACCTAAGACCCTTAGAGCTATCCTAAGGTATATAAGCAAAAGCGGAATTTTAGGAAATCAAGGAATCACGTAAAACTATATGATAGAGGGGAAGAAGGAGTATAAGGTAGGATTTTCAATAGAATTTATTAGTAATATATTAGTATATAGAAGAGGTATTAAAGTTAATAATCCTCTATCTATCTACTAGCGGACATGCTGTCTTATATAGACGATTATAGCTAAACGGAAGAACCTTTTAGGACTAGATTTAGGCTGCCGTATAGCCTTAAGACTAAGGAATTTAGTGATACCTCGAGTGTATTAGGAAGTGTCTTGGTTCTACTAATATTCGTGTTTAAAGGAGGTTGGTCGTGCCGGTGTTTTTAAGAGGTCTTAGCTAGTATTCTAAGCTAGCTCTATTTCTTCGATTCCCGATTATACGATAACCGGCAACCCGTTTAATATATAATAATAAGCAAAATAACGAGCGATTCTTGCTCTATAATATAGGATTTTATCTATAATTAATATACTACTTATTAGCTTATATAATCGGGAGAGTATATTATAGCTGCTTTATTTATAGTAGGAACACCGTTCCTTATAGCCTCCCTTAAAGAGTAGATTTATATACTCTTTACTAATTTATTTATAGTAGTATATATCTAGGGTAAAAACCTAATTTTAGGAAAACTATTCTTATACCTTAATAGGATATATAAAAACCTATTCTTTCTTAGGAAAAAAGTCCTTAGGTATATACTAATAGAAAAATCTATAGTAGGAAAAATCTATAGTTATAATAATTATTTATAGGATAACCTTATATAAGGTAAAACCTATTATTACTAGGAAAATCTTAATAGATAAAAACCTAGTAAATATTTCTCTAGGAAACCTAAAAGGAAAAACCTAGTAAGGGAAAGATATAGAAAGTATAAGAAATATCTAAAAACCCCTTTTAATTGCTTAGGAACTTATATTAAGGATAGACCGTCTCTAGATTTATAGAGTAATCTAGGTCTTAATTCCTTTATAAAAATATTAGCTATATTATCTTTTAATTTAATATAAAAAACTCTAATTTCCCCTCTTATACTAGTTTTAGTATAGTAATAAGCTAATCTTATATACTTAGACCTTTTATAAAATTCCGGATTTTCTGCTAATTTAATAGTAGTAGTATTATCCGTTAAAATAAGAGGTATAGTATTAGGAATCTTAATAGATAGATCCTTAGTAATATTTTTAAAAAGCATATTTAAATAAATAGCTTCTTTATTTACCTCCCTAAGGCTAATATACTTTACTTCGTAGGTAGAAAGGGCAACGGCTTTCTACTTAAAGCAAGCCTAGCTTATTATATTATTATATATATAAAAATAGTAACCGGAAAAAGATTTTCCGTCTATTAAATCTAACGCCTAGCTAGAGTCGGTAAAGCCCTTTATATATAGATAGGTAAAAGGGATATTATAATTATATTTAATCTTTAGGCTAGGGAATTTATTTAAATATTTCTAAATTATATTTAAAGCCTTAAAATACGTTTAGTAAGGCTTAGCCGGAATCTAGCGCAGGAAATTATAGAATATAGGATATCTAGTCTAGTAAATAAGGCTAAGTATAATAGAGATCCTATTTCTTCCTATAATTACAATATATCTTCCTTAGAAGGTAATTCCTTTGCTTTTATAAGCTTAAAGCCTACTATAGCGGGTAAATTTAAAGTTCTTAAACCTTCTTTATTAAATTCCTTTAATCTATTTAAGGTATAATTATCTTATAATATATATAGCTCTTTATATTCTCGGTTTATTATAATATTTAGACCTAAGAAGTCTTTTATATCTCCTAAGATAGTAAAATCTAGGAATTTAGATAATTCTTTAAATAATCTTTCTTTTATTATAGATTTAAAGGGCCCTACTATAAGAAAGTCGTCGACGTAAATTGCTAAGGCTATACTATAGTCCTTATTTATAAATACTCCTTTATCTATTAAAAGAGGAAGAAATCCGAGTTTATTTAGTATAATTTTTAAATAATTATACTAGAGCTTAGGACTTTATTATAGGCTATATAATGCTTTCTTTAGCTTTGCTTTAATTTAACCGGTTTTATATAGGTCTAGGAGTTTAGTTAATTTAATTTCTTTAGCTCTATAAGCTAATCTATATTTTAAATAATATTCTTTAAGAGCGTATTCTTTATAGCCTATAGGAAGATCGATATATACTTTACTATCTATATCGGTATATATAAAGGTATTTCTTATATCTATTTATAAAGCTTCGAATTTATAGATAATAGCTAAAATAAGTAGAATTCTAATAGATTTAGGTCTAGCTATAGTCGAGAAGGTATCTAGGAAATCTAAGCTATAGATCTACTTAAATCCTTATATTACGAAACGGGCTTTATATTGTATTATATTATTTTAACTATCCTTCTTAATAGTATAGACCTAGCGGCCTCCTATAGCCTCCCTATTCTTAGGGAAGTAGGAAAATTCCTAAGTTTTATATTTAATTAGCTAGATAATTTCCTTAATTATAGTATCTTTCTAAAATGCTACTTTAGGGCTATTTACTACCTATTTATAAGTCTTTAGAATTTTTAGATCTTAATTTTCTATACTAGCTAAAATTAACTCTATAAAATCGTAGTTTAGAAATAAATTAACGTTAAGGGATTTAATATAGTTAGAATCGAACCCTTCTAGCTTCTTAGGTAATTCTACTACTATTTTACTAGTAGTAGGAATAGGATCGTTATTTAGAGACTCTTCTTCTATAAAGGGCGAGGGATTTTTATCTCTAGGTTCTCTAGTAGCTTCCTCTATAGGGATATAGCTTTCTAGCTTATCTTTATTCGGAATAGAATTAAAATCAAAGGTATTATTACTAC